TAGATGTAGACAAAATCTTACACTTGACACTATTTATTATGGTAGACTACTACTATGGATATTTGAAGGATGCAGTTAGAAAAATATATAAGGTACCCATTTTGGAATTAAGTGATGGTTTGAGGGAAGTGTTTGATGATTCAATTACATATGGGTTGTTGAGGTATGTATTTGAGGGTGGGAGTCTTAACATGTATGTGGAGAACAATGTGTTAGACTAGCATATAATACAACAAGCTGCATTGCCAAAGAAGTTGATGGGGGACCCATCGGTAAATGGGCTCTAAGTGGATTTAAATGAATAGGTATGGGAGCTTGAATTTCTTGGGTTTGATGATAATCAAGCTAATGTTGGTGATGCTCAATTGATTGATTATGTAATTTTTCATATTTTGGTTAGGCTAGGGTTCCCAAAGTTGAAGGGACCAGAGAGGAAGACCCTATTGAAGGGGAAGAGCCCTTAGAGGGAATGAGGAGGAGAACCTATTGGAGGGACTGAAGGGGAAGTACCCATTGGAGGGATTGAGGAGGAAGGACATATTGATGAGCTGACTCAAAGTGATGGGGAGTTAGCTAGTGAGGAATTTGCATCTGAAGATGATGATTTTGGTTTAGATATTGAATGGTTAATAGATAATGAAGATGAACCAATTCAAGCAATAAGGCAAAGAGTGAAGAAAAGGTTAGGAGAAACCAATGGTGTAAAACCCTAGGCACCCCTTCTCCCTCTTCTCTCATGGCAAATCCCAATGGGGAAAAAGCTATGTTTGCTTCCGTTCTCTCTAAGCTATCATCACCTCCTCTGAGACCTTTTCTCTCTCCAAGTGCCACTTGTTAATTGCTACTCTCAAACAAGAACTTATTGCAATTTTCCCCGAAGAAGTTTTGAAGCAATCATATGACATATTTCGATGGGCATTGATCGGAAAATGCATGCATGGTTGACATTCTCTTCCTAAATTAAAGATTTCATTTGAAAATCCTTCTTTTCTGAAAAATGAGATATGAGTTAGAGTTTTGGGTTCAAAACATACTCTAATTCGTTTTGCAGAGAAGGAAGTTTATCTGAAACTTTGGCTTCAAAAAACTTTCAGGGTGTGATCCTATATCTTAAGGTTGTTCAAATGGGTTCCGGACTTCGCTCCCGATTGGGAACCCTCTATGTATTGTGCTTGTCTAGATTAATTTCCCTTTTCTTCCTATGAACTTTGTATTGAAGTTGATTGAACTAAAGAAAGGGTTAGGATCCATCATATGGATGGCCAAACCATACTAGATGGATAGGCAAAATTTCAAAAATTTCTTAATCATTTCGGGAATTGAATTCCCTATGTTTTGAAAAACTACATTTTCAGGATCGATCTTGCACTGAACTGGACCATATTTGAAACCAACCAAAGAGAGAGATGTATGCCTGATATAGATACTACAAACGTAGATCCCAAGGTGAAAGTTCACGCCCAAATTAGTCCTAAAACCAGCCTCCACTGAAGATGGCGTAGTGTATTCCTGAAGTCGGTTCAGCAATGTAGTTTTCAGCAAAACTGCAATCCAACTGCTTGGATCGAACTGGGGTGGTGAACACGAAATTCCTCTGGATTTTTCTTGCAAAATCAAAAGAAAACTGACCTCTATCAGTTCCAAAATGGCTATGGTCGAACTAGGGTTTCTTGGGAGACAAAAAGAAGAAGAGAGAACAAAATAGAGAGGTGTTTTAGTCTAGTTCGCCCTCTTTTTCTTTTATCTCTTTATGGAGCACTTCTCCTAATCAAATTAGGAGATTATTCAAATCTAATTTGGATTTGGACTCTATTAAGAGATAAGCCTTATCTTCTTAAGAAGATGAATGCTCCATACCCATTTCCAAACCCAGATTCGCCCCATGTCATATGACAACTTAAGCTGTCATGTGATAGCTTAATCAATCATATTAATTATGGGCCTTAGGCCCATCAACTATAAGGCTCACGATCCAAGGGTGTTGCATGGCCAACTTAGGCCTAATTTGTATGGTGTGGGACCCCACAATGACCTCACATAAGTTCACATGGGTTCAAAGCAACCTCTATGAAAAATCTTGGCCGAATTCATTGCTAAATGCAGTAAACCCTTGAGCACATCACTATAGGCTCAAAATGGGCCCAACATTTACACTTGAATGATCATTGAATTCAGCCATCCTATGAAGATCCAAGGATGATGAACTTAAGTAAAATAAAGCCCATCAGGTAATCAACCATGTAATGGTCTCTTACACTTAACCTCTTGGCCCAAAATGATCAAACACTACCCGACAGGGAATAACATCTCCCCTGGTTGCAAGGTGCAGTGTCACACTCTCTGCTCAGATGGATCCTGGGAATTAAAATATTTTGCAAATATTTTTCATAAAATACAATATATATATATCATATAATTATATTTTGAAAAATCAAATTTCAAACACAGATTTAGGTTTCCATAAAAGAGTGTAAGCCCTATCATTCACTTTGTCTGACAAAGGAGTCGATCCGATCACTATGATCACCCACTCAAATGAATTCTCAGACTGCCCCAACATACTCAGGTTTTGACCCTTAATGAATCTCATTGATTGATATATCAAAGACAACCCAATCCGACACCTAGTACAGTACCATAATCAAGTCTAGGGGTTATGTGTAACTTTCCAGTTTTTCCTATCATCAAAGACAACCCAATCCGATACCTAGTACAGTACCATAATCAAGTCTAGGGGTTATGTGTAACTTTCTAATTTTTCCCATCAATCTCCAAGGTCTAGGGCATATATTGGAAAATGGTCCAGTTCAGTGTTTCAACCAAACACACTACATGTGCTTTGGGTCTAACCCTAGCAGCTAAGACAAGCTGCCCCAACTTCTTTAGCAGCACATCAGTGTCAGCCTTTGTAGGATAAATTCCTCAAGTCTATCCAACGGATGAGAAAATTCTAAACTAACTCGAGTCTCATAAGTGTTTAGTTTAAGGGGTAATTTCACAAAAACATACAAATATCAACATGAATCAATAACGTACTTTTATTCATTTGCAATAAATGTATCTATACATCAATTTGATTGGAGTTAAGGGCATACACTGTCTAACACGAACTACTCTTACACTCTCAAAACAATGGAGGCTAGGGCTTGTGTAGAAGTTAATCCGTTGAAACCTCATCCCTAGAGTCTGAATCAGCTCTGGAATGGATGTTGGATTTTTATCTCATTAGAGATTAAATCCAATGGGGTTTGATTGATCAAATACATGAAAAACACACCTGCACACATATATTGAAAAATTGTTTTTTCTCTTACTAAAACCATTTTTTTAAACTTGTCCCACATTGGAAAATTACAAGACTTGTTTTGAGTTTTTAAATAGTAACTTATTTACACTTCTTAGAAATAAAGAGGATAGTATGGAGGCTTGCCACCATGCAATGCACGCACGTGTATGGCGCAATGAGTTGCTTTAGAGGTGTGCACATGTGCGGCTCTAAAGGCAGTGTCTTCAGACATGCCTCAGAGCTTCTCCTCCAAGTTTCAATGACCCCAATTCACAACAATGGAAAGGAAGGATTTTGATAGTGGGTGGTGCATGAATTATCCAATTTGTATGTTAGATAGGGGTGGCCATGAGTCGAGCTTCTCACAAGCTATACGAGCTTGGCTCGAATCAGTTTAAACCAAGCTTCAAGCCGAGCTTGAGCTTGATATATAGGCTCGTTAACTAATCGAGCCGAGCTCGAGCCCAATGGTGCTTTGTTCGTGAGGCTCGCAAGCCTATTATAATGAATAAATAATTTTTTATTATATACATAGATACATAGATACATACATAGATAATAGATACATATATACATATATACATACATATAAATATATAAATATATTAATACACAATAAATAATATGTATATTTTTATTTTTTATTTTTGTATATAATAATAAAAACATTTCATGAGTTTTGTTCTTGTTTGATGCAATATTTAGGTACTGTGTTGAACTACCATGAATTTGTTCATGTTTTATTAGATATAATTCATAAATCATAATTGCTAGTGAGGATGATTTGATTTTAAAGATGTCATCAGATGGAAGTTCTTATGACAAAGCATGTTTAATTACATGAATTCCCAATGTGTGTATATGTTAAAAATATATAATTAGTGGATATTTTTGAGGTTCTTTTAACAGGGGTAGAATTGAAAACTTTGGTTGATTCCAATTCCAGCTTCTAGTTGAACCCAATAGCAAGAAATTGGAATCCGATTTCGATTCCTGACTGAATCAAACAGATGCTAGGAATGGACCATTCCGATTCCGATTCTGGAAGATTCCAATTCCGATTCTGACTAAAAACCAAACGGACCCTTAATTTTTTATATGTATAATTTTTATTTTTAGAAAAAACTTGGCTTACAATCTAACTCGAGCCGAGCCGAGCTCAAACATGCAAACTTTGAACCAAACTGAGTTCGAGCTCAAATTTTTAACTCGAATCGAACTCGAGCCTAACATAATTTCAGTGAGCTGAACTCAAACCTCAGTTCAAATATCCAACTATTCAGTTCGAATCCACCCTTTAGATTGAGTCAAATGGTCCAACTGGTGGCGAAACGGACCTAGAAATCAGAATTCTATCTGGACGACAGAAGAACCAGCTCGACCAGAAATTGAAAATACCGTTATGTCATTGGAATTCACATAGAATCCCCATACAGTGCACCCCAGACGCGACGCAAAGCACATCTTAACCGTTCATTGATAACATCTCTCCATGATAAGCACGGAGATGTTCACGATCCACGCCTGCGAGTAGCCAATTAGAACTCATGTTATTGAGGCTGCAATTCCAACTATTTTCTGACATTCGAACCCGAAGTTTTTGTCGAAGTTGTGTTTGAGTCCGGATCTCCTGCCCATACGAGACAACATCGCTCCTATTATGCAGTGGGAGATATTTTTCAATTCACGAGGGTGGTGTATTGTGGGCTCGTGGGTAGACGGGGGCAGGATATCCGGAGTCAGTTTTTGCATCCGGTCTTCCGTTACCCATCTGATCTACTGTTCCCTCAACATACTCTCGTCGGCTTTCGTCATTTCCCACATAAGCATCGCTTCCACCTGATCACTGTTCTCTCCTCCACCTGATGTTGTTCTCACCAGAATCTGGATACTATCTCTCCTCCTCCACCTGATACTGTTCTCACCAGAATCTAGATACTATCTCTCTCTCGTTAGAATTTGTTAATGGCGTCCTCTCTTCTTCTCTCAAATATTCCTGTCTTCTCTCACCAGCGCTCTAACGGCGACACCCTCTTTTTCAGGCATAATCCAAGTTTTGCCCATTTGAAATCAATTAAGAGCTTTGAATTCGCGAGACCCACAAGGAAAAATCCTGTAATTTCTGTGAAATCACTTCAGTCATGCCGAAAGATTCTTGCCGGGACGTCAGTTGGAGAAACGGAAGAGAAGGGTTCCGTCTCCGATGAGTTTCTGGTCGGGGAGGATTCTGCTGCATTTGATATCGGGAAGCAGAAGCTATCTTCTTGGGTTTATTTCACTGGAATTTTGGGGACTGTTCTCTTCGCACTTGATGTCGTTTGGATTGATTCATCGACTGGACTTGGGGTTGGGAAGGCCTTTATCGATGCCGTTGCAAGCCTTTCGGATAGCCACGAGGTGGGTTTGTCGTACCTTTCTTAAATTTCTTCCATAGTAGTGTTTGGTTATGAAAATTGAGAAATTAAAAAAGAAAACACAGACACACAAATAGTTTGTTGCTTTATTTGTTGATAAAGTTTGTAGGTGCCTAGACTTATGATTTTTCTGTTAGGTACAATAAGAAATTGAAGCTTTTTGTATTAGTGTAAGAAATTAAAGCTTTTATTTTCAAATTGTAAGAGAAGTTGATGCAAGTTAATGCGATTTTTTTTGGGAGGGTGGGGGTGGGGGGTGGGGAATACACTCATTCGCATAAAACCAGGCTGTTTATGCTATTTATGAAGGCAAATTTCAAGCTAACTAGAGTTAGATTAGAACAACTCAAGTTCTACTTGTTTTGGTTTTCATAGGCTTTGGTTGACGGTAGATAGAACCTGAAAGCGTGTAAGAAATTGAGAAGGGATAAGTCATGAAATAAATATAATTGGAAATGGCTATTGTCAAAGAAATGGAAAATTTTTATGAAATAATTTGATACTTGCGATAGAGAAAAACCACAATGCACTTGTGTAGGGCAAAATCTGTCAGGTTGTTTCCAAGTTGTAACAATTCTTGTACGTACTTTAACATGATAATTGGTTCAACTCGATATCAACTCTTGTAAAAGTAACATGATAGAAGGTGATCAAATTACTTATTGAGCATAGAATCTTTGTGAAAAAGAAATCTATAGAAGAAATCAAGGGATTTTGAGCTCAATGGAAATGTTTCCTGATTTTATGGTGGAGAAAGCCACCTTCCTGGGACCAATAACAACACTTGATTGTGGCGTTAAATTGGAAAAGGTTCCCACATCCTTTTGGACAAGGGTGGGTAAAGAAGTTATACTCATAATTTAATGATGGATGTGGTACTAAACAGAACAGAATGACAAAACAGGATTCATGTAGCTGACTCCATATGGTTGGGACAAGGCTTAGATGATGATGATGATGGTGATGGTGATATAAAATAACAGACATTGTTATTAGGTTTCATTTAAGCCATTTGGGAAGATTTCACTCCAAACATTAGTTTCATAATCAATCAATCTATTCATCATCACCACTCTCACTCTCTCTGAATTCTGAAACTCCAGAATGTTAATTCTCAAACCTGAGAAATAGTTTATAATCCATCACCTAAACCCTAAACCCACTTTGTTTCATTCCCTGTTGCCCCTATACATTTCCTCCTTCATACCAACCCCCAAATTAACCAAATTCCTAGTTTTCCACAGCCTGTCCTATAAAGAGAGTAAGGAGTGAGGAATATATAGATAGAAGGATCAATTAGCATGCACATACACAAATACATGTACACAGACATACTAATGAGATAATCTTTCCCAATCAGGTTGAGTAGGGTAATTCCCTACAATGACCAACTCTATTTGTACCACATGGAGGGATTCAACGTTAACTGTTCCAATACATTCTCCCTTCATCACAAAACCTAGATTAACCAAATCCCTAGTTTCTCATAGACTGCCCTGGACAGAGAGTGAGAGTGGCAGAGGGATATTCAGATAAATGGATCAATTATCCAAATCCCTAGTTTCTCATAGCCTGCCCTGGACAGAGAGTGAGAGTGGCAGAGGGATATTTAGGTAAATGGATCAGTTAGCCAAATTCCTAGTTTCTCATAGCCTGCCCTGGAAAGAGAGTGAGAGTGCCAGGGGGATATTTAGATCCACTAGTGGCAACCAAATACCTAGTTTCCCTACATTGAATTACCATAGTGGTCATCAATCATCATCATTATCTAAGCCTTATCGCAACTATATGGGGCTGGCTACATGAATCCTGTTTTGCCATTCTATTCTGTTTAGTGCCATATGTATTGTTAAATCATGAGCACTTAGGTCATTTCTTCCTACTTCAACCCATGTCCTTTTTGGTCTACCCCTAGCCCTTCTAGCCCCCTTCAACTTGCAAAAGATTGCTTATGGGTACTCTGGATGGTCTTCTATGAACATTACCAAATCATATTTAGTCTACTTTCTCTCATTTTACCACGTATTAAATCTACTCCTAGGTTCCATTAAATGATTTCACTTCTGACCCTATCCTTTCTGATTTTTCCATTCATTCATCTCAGCATACGCATTTCTCACATTCATTTTTGGACATTTTTTCTCGATAGCCTAACACTTTGCTCCATACAACATCGCTGGCCTTACAACTGTTTTAGAGAATTTTACTTCTAACATAAGTGGTATTCACCTATCATATAAGATTTTGGATGCACCCTTTCGTTTTGTCCATCTTACTCTAATTATATGGGTGACATCCTCCTCAATCTCTCCCTTGTTATGAATTATTAGAGTGGCCACTTTGTGCAAAAAATGCCAAAGTTTAGGACCATATGCAGTCCACCCCTCCCAAGACCCAAGATGGTTAGGACCAACATTGAGTAGTGGCCTTTATGAGTACGGGTGCAACTTGGGTTGGCCCAAGTTAGCATTTTATACTGCTTCAAGCTGGGCCATTCATTTTTTTTTATCAATATGGGCCATTCAAATTTTGACAAAAGTCCTATCTGAGCCCACCCACATTGCACCCCTATTTATGAGCAGACCTTGTAGGTGAATTTGCAAATTAACCACAGGATGTGAAGCTATTTCTTCCTCTGAAATACTAAAAAAAGGATATGATGGACATCATGAAGAAAACAAGAGTCCATCATAGCCATACAGATACAAGTGCTATGTATGTACTCTTCATAAGGTAAAGATGATCTATTCAGCCATTCTACATCCTTTGCTATTAACCCCTGATCTCTTTTCTGTTTTCATTTTCTTATTTTTTTAAGAAAAGTAACTCTATCGATACACCCTGATACACTGGAAGGGGTGTATTGACACTTTGAACTTTGCACATGTAATTTTTTTAGGTTTTTCTTTTTTAAAATTAGGTCAGGGGGTTGGCCTTAGGCCTTCCTACCCCTTGAAATTAACTAAATTTCAAAAATCCCTATATTTAGAGTATTGAGACCCTGCCAATAAGATACGATACACCCAATATGGGGCGTATCATGCTAACATTTTGAACCTTGGGTAATTCCTGATCTTGCTAGCCCATCTGCAATGACATCTAAGTCCCTAGGAACCCATGACAAGGTGGAACTAGGTGTCCAAGTTCATTATTAATTTATATTATTTGAAACTCCATGGTCCTCTCCTAAACCCTTCATCGTATTGCATTCATAGAGTTTCTTTCCACCAAAACAGAAGATGGTCTTTTTGATGCAGTGCCCCCTAGGCAATAACTTTTGCGTCCCAAAACATTTTTAATCGTATGTACCTGCTTGATCATCAAATAAGGCAAGCAATGTTGTAAAAGTTGATGGTTAGAATGCCAAATCACACATCCCATGAATGAAGGATAGGCTTGGTGAACTAATCTTCTCTGTGTAATTCTTTTCATTAGTCAGGACTCTGCATGATTTTTCTATTCAGCTGCAGAATTTCTTGATTGAAACATTAATAACTGACTCATCTGATACTTTTTCTGCAGGTTGTTATGTTAATTCTTATTTTCATATTTGCTGTTGTCCATAGTGGCATGGCTAGTTTCAGAGATCTGGGCGAGAAACTCATTGGAGAACGTGCATACCGTGTTCTCTTTGCAGGGATCTCTCTTCCATTGGCAGTTAGTACTGTTGTGAGCATCTGTTTCTCTACTTCCTATGGAACACTTAATCCTATGATTCATTCTACTTTTCTATTTCTATTGGCTTCTTTCGCGGTGTCTTGGATTCTTATAGCTATACACAAGATCTTGATTGAATTATTTTGTAACCTCCTTTGAGCATTTGTGTTTCAGGTATACTTCATTAATCATCGATATGATGGAATTCAATTGTGGCAACTCCAGAGTGTTCCAGGAGTTCATCAACTTGTGTGGATCTCATCCTTCATTTCATTCTTCTTCCTCTATCCTTCAACCTTTAATCTGTTGGAGGTGGCCGCAGTTGATAAGCCTAAAATGCACCTTTGGGAAACTGGGATCATGAGAATCACCAGGCATCCACAGGTTTGTAAGTTTCTTCAATTTAGTGGGCATTCACAGACATGGAAAGTCCTGCCTAAGTATGTGACAAGACATTTCAGATATGCATGGCCCTAGATCTAGACAATGTTTAATGGATTTTACTAGTAGATTAAGAAAGAAACAGCCTGAGCTGGTGATCCTAATGCCCAGGGCATAGATTTATAAAAGGCAATAGACCTGGTTAACACAATTTGAACCTGAACCAAGCCGGCCCAGGGCATAGATTAATAAAAGGCCCAGTCCAACATTTTCTGGGTATGGATTGTTGGGAGTAGATGTGAGGGGCATCATTTTTCTGGTCGTTAGGGCTTTTCTATGTAATGTCTTATCTTTTTCTTAATAATTTTTATTTATTTTGAAAATATATACATATATTATTAGCTATGTCCACCTATCTAAGGTTTGCATGTCTTTTTCAGATGGTTGGGCAGACAATGTGGTGCTTGGCTCACACACTCTGGATTGGCAATTCTGTAGCTGTTGCAGCCTCCATTGGCTTGATTGGACACCATCTATTTGGTGTTTGGAATGGCGATAGGAGATTGGCTTCAAGGTATGGAGAAGCTTTCGAGATTGTAAAGAGTAGAACCAGTGTCATTCCTTTTGGAGCTATCATTGATGGACGTCAAAAGTTGACCAAAGATTATTACAAGGAATTCATCCGGTTGCCATATATTGCAATTACAGCATTGACATTAGGTGCATACTGGGCCCATCCACTCATGCAAGCAGCCAGTTTTCGTCTTCATTGGTAGGATTCAGACCATCTTTACCTGTACCAGAGAGAGCAGGCTGAGAACCCTGCCTATATGAAAACCAGTCGAACAAATACACGATCAACTTTTCAGAGTAGACGGTTACTAATGATGGTAAAACACCAAGAAGCTCGTTAATCAATCTCTACTAGCAAGCAAACCTATGCAAATCCATGGGGTTGAATAGAAATGTGGATAGGTTTGGGTTGGCAAATTTAAGCTTTGACATCAGTTTGGTTCCAAGCCAAGGTTGGTCTAGAGTTAGCCCTTAACCCCATCCAATCCATTAATTTGTATTGTATCCATGTTTTATTAGAGATGGTCAAAAGAGTTTAAAAGACATTTACTAAGAAATAAGGGATTTAATGGGGGAGGTGTTACAAACATTGATTCTTGAAGAGAGAGGGGTAGAGAATTAAGAAAAAATTTATTAAAGAAGAATAACTATAGATTTTAATAGAGAAAAACGAGAGGGTTCTACATAAGAGGATTTCTAATATTTCACAATTGTGAAGAATGAGAGAAGGGGAGATTCCGTGTGAGGACTGTGATGAGAGACCTTTGACCTCTATACACTCCTATTTCTATCATATACTAGCGTGGTGACCCATGCAATGCATGGGTTTTTTATAAACTTTATTTAATAAACTTGGGAATAAATTTACTAATTTAGGTTTGGGCCAAACCTTGGTCCCCAAAGGTCCAGAGAGAGAGAGAGATAGAGAGAGTTATGGTTATGCCAAAATTGGTACTTTTGTCTATGATTTGAAAGTCTACATATTTTACTGAGAAGTTCACTATATGGTTATAGTGAACCTCTCAAGCTTTACAAACCCAATCTCAGGTCGTTTGGATCGAACCGGTTATCTTTTATAGTCAGCATAGGTTATACCTGCTTTGTAAGTAGGGGTGTCAATTGGACCAGATTTGGTCCAATCCGATCTGGCCCAATATGAGTCCATTACAGATGGACCAGGTCCAAGCCAATCCGATCAATATTATGGACCATTTTGGACCAGTCCAATTCAATGTCTGGACCATTCAATCTGTTCAAATTGGTTTTAATTTAGATTGGTTCCAACCCAAACCCGGTCCATTGGCACCTGTATTCTTATCTTCTATCAATGGATGGGATTTTGGTTCAATCCGACCCAATCCAACATAATCCAGGTCCAATCCAATCGACCATTTAGTCTGAATTGGTCCAATTCAATGTCTTATTGGTCCATCCAATCTGTTTAGATTAATTTTGATTTGGACGGGGTCCAACCCAAAACCGGTCCATTGGCACCTCTGTTTGAAAGGCTAACAAGTTGATCAGGTATGTTGAATTGTTGATGGTTCATTTGTGTGCCCCTCTTAGTCTAGTGATGAACACAATGCTATCATCAATCCCAATTATTTGACACGGAATGAACCAGTTAGAGGTGCTCAATCAATCCCCAAACCGGTCCATTGACACCATGAGATTTCCAATGGTATCAGAGCGAGAGCCATGGCAACCACCCAAACCGATGACTCCACCGATGGCACCGATAAGACTTCAAGCCCTTATTATTTACACCACTCTGAAAATCCAGGCATGATCTTGCTCTCTATACTTCTCACAGGTGACAATTGCGTCACCTGGAAGAGAGCCACAGTATTGGCCTTGTCAGCCAAAAAACAAACTTGGATTTATAGATGGGAGTGTCAAGCACGTCTACCCTTCCCTCTCAGCACTATTACTACTACATCACCATTTGAATTTATCCATTACAACATTTGGGGGCCTTGTTCTTAGGGGTGCAAATGGATCAGATCATGATCCCATCTGATCCTGTTTTGTTGGATTTGGATATTTTCATTTTGGATTTTTTGTCGGATCGGATCGAATGATAGAATCCGATTAAAAATTGGATCACCCCTATCCAATCCGAAAGAATCCAATCTGATATAATATATTTATTTATAAGTATGCTATTTATATTGCATTTTGTAATGTTTTATATTATCTATTTTTTCATAAAAAACAGATATATATACGATGAAAATAGTTGAAAAAATACTTAATAATTTATTAAAATTACTCATATTTGATAATTTAGAGCGAAAATACACAATTGTTGAAAATAAATTTATAACAAAAATATAATAAATAAATAATAAAAAAAATAAAAAAATACAATAATTATAAAATAAATACAACAAAAAATTTAAAACTTTTCATTATTTAAATTTTATTTATTTAAAAGTTATTACATAATATTAAATATTTTGTTATATAATTGTTTAGCTATTTTTAATATTTTATTTAAAGTGTTGTTGTTTAAAAAGAAATTTACATAACTTTGTTATTGAATTTTTAAAAACATTATTTAGTTATTACATAATATTAAATATTTTGTTATATAATGAATTTTATATTCTTAATATTTTTAACGAAATATTTATATAATATTTTAATTTTTTATTATTTAAATAAAATTTAAATGATTTTGTTACAGAAATTTTTAATCCATAAAATTATAATTTATATTGTTATTACATAATTTTTAATTTCTAAAATCACAACTTAATATCTAAAGATTATTAAATCTATTATAATTATTATTTTTTGTTTTTAATAGATATTTTAAAGTAATTACATAATTTTGTTATAATATTTAAGTAATTATTAAACATTTTAATTAAAACTTTCTTTAAATAGACATATATGAAAAGTGGGGGAGATGCTAAATAGGAATTAGAGATAATAAGAGATAATTTTGGAGAAAATAGGGGATATTAGTTCCATGTGGCTAGATTGGGTATGTAGGATAGATTAAGAGGTATTTTAGGTGGGAGAGATAGCTTATGAGGGATTTGCTAAGTGTTTAGGAACATGAGAGGGAGAGGGAGTTGGAATGGAACTCTAGTAAAGAAGAGAGGGTTGCCATGTGGCTACATGGAAGGATCGGGAAGGGGTAAGGGAGAAAAGAGGGAGGTTTAAGGAGAGAAGAGAGAAGGGGGAATGGGAGAAGGAGAGGGGTGCTGACATGGGACTTAATCGCTTTGTCATATAGTATAGAGTTGACCCTATTTGTTAGCCGAGGGCCTCAGTCCATCAATAGATAATAACTCTTTATTAATCTCAACAAGATTACATTAAAACTACAAAAAGTATAAAATTTCTTTGATTATTATTATTATTATTATTATTATTTAATTTGTTAGATTATTTTATCCCAATTTGACTTTGACCGTAGATCATTAGAAGTGTTTCGAATGTAATGTTTTACTTTTGGTAAAAAAAATAATTTAACATATTGTCAAAATGGGATATGTTTTGAAATAAATTGCAAAAATAGTTGATAGGACAAAAAGTCATTCTTGAACGAATTGCCCCTTATTACAATTCCTTGTATTGGCATGCATACCGATTTTAGTTCCCAAAGTTGCAAGCATGGTGACCTGGTTTCTTTATCTTCCTTTGTTCAAATTCCATCCCTTCTCTTCTATTCCTTCTCTGTTTTGGTTCCTTTTTTTCGTTATCCTTCTCTTGGCTATCATCACGCTAGTACTCTAAAATGCTTTGCCAATTAATCTTGAAAAAAGAGGCAAAGATCTTCTTAGACGACGAACGGACAATGCCGAAGGTACATCTTTGGGTTGTTTGTCCCTTTGTGAGATATACTTCAACAATTATTCCAATGAAACAAGTAGTGGTCATAGGTGTCTCCATCGAAATTGGATTCAGCACTTACAAAAACGGTGCTCACTTCGTACTCATAGCCACTTGCAACCGTGTATTGGGAATACCTCTGTACTTGAATTCTTATATTCATGGGGAGATATTCCCAATACACAACTACAAGTGGTTGTGAGTACAGTGTGAGCACTATTTTGTGAATACTGGATCCGATCTTGCCTCCATCAACATGATTCCAGACCCCAAAGTAGTTTTGCTCATCATTTTCTTTGGAATAATTCTACATTTGAAATCCAAATCTTCCTATGGTTCCCCTTTGTAAGCTTGGGAAAGTTGGTCAATAGGTATCTTTTTCTCATTAACCAACTTTACATTGTTCTTTTTACATTTACTAATGAGCCCCATGGTAAAATAAACTCCACTTCCTCGGGTAAAACTTACCCATCTCCCAAGTGGATAAGTAACTTTCTCACATGGTGGGGGGGATCTTATATTAGCTTTTTATGGGTTAAAATGTCATTCTATTACTTACTTGGAAATCTTGTAAATCAAAAGAACATAGGTAAGTGCACTTACCCGTATACGTTACAAAGATGCAAATGAAAGAGGCCAAAGCCTGACTAGAGGCTACCACGGTTGCCTTTTAAATCATGTTTATCCCCATTCAGTTTTCTTAAAGATTGATCTCATTGGATGATGTAGTTCCAACGATTAAGGATAAAGGTTGCAACTTGCACAAGATGATTAATGGCATAAATAAAGTTGCATGTATTTTAGAATTTTTGTGGCCATTAAAGCTTCATCGCATTTGTTCACCAAAACCAGCTTATAATCCATTAAAAGCATCAAAGGACCTCCCCTTTGAGGGAAGCTTTGGTTTGCTTTATCATAAATTCAAAATTGGGCCAATTTTCTAAAGTATCGCTAAGTTTTAGGAAATCGACTAACTCTATCTCTATTGTTTATATATTGTCTTAAAGTATCTCATAAGTTTTCTAACAATTGACTAAGTCCTCCCTTGCCATTAATGTTTCATCACACTCCGTTCACATGTGACATTATGTGACGTATAATATTTTTAATCTAATATTACCCTTTTGTGGTCAATTTTGCTCTCCTTTATTCTTTAAATTTTGAAAATAAATTGTTGGTCCATAATTTCGTGCTTGAACAATTTGCTTCAACCAAGATTGTTAATCAATGGTTCTGTGTTTCAACAATTTTCCAATACCTTATATGAAGGAAATCTTTTTAGGTTCACCAAATAAATTTGCAAAAATTCTAAATTGGATTAGGGGTGTAATCGAGTCGAGTGAAGCCGAGTATCAAGCTACTCAAGCTCGAGCTCAACTCAAAAGTATAGAGCATGGAACTCGACTTGAGCTTGATCAAGTTTCATATATTTGGCTCGAACTAGACTCAAGATACTTGTGAGCTACTCGAGCTTGACTTGAATCGATCTGATTATAAAT